CAAAAACAACAGAATAAGGTTGCCTGCATTGAAGCTTGTTACAAAGAAACAGCTAGCACATGTATTAAAAGATGCCAATACTGTAATATCAAATAGAAACACCAGCTCACTGCAAGAAACAAACCAACCAATGTATAGCACAGTTGCAGTTATAACTGAATACCTTGGATGCAAAATCAACAAAGCCAAACAGTGCACCACCAAAATGGAAGATCAGGTTGGAAAATAAGATCAGCATTCTAGGATCAGATCCAAGCAACTTAGAACAGATGAAAGAAAAGAAGCTGAAGAACAAGAAGACCAAAGAATACTTGATCAAGAAATATTTCCTAGAAGCAAGGAAGATCAAAGAAGCACTGGAAATAATAAAGCAGCAAATAACAACCATAGCCAAAAAGATCAGCAGATATGAAGCTTGAATTACACACTATAGACAGAATCTCCAAATTTAGTTGAATCAGAAATGTTTCTACCAATCCATCAATGGAGAGACTGCAATGAACCAGTCAACACCTGACAAAAAAAATAATAAAGCAGCAAATAACAACCATAGCCAAAAAGATCAGCAGATATGAAGCTTGAATTACACACTATAGACAGAATCTCCAAATTTAGTTGAATCAGAAATGTTTCTACCAATCCATCAATGGAGAGACTGCAATGAACCAGTCAACACCCGACAAAAAAGAAACAATGCAGTTCTGGTTGCAGCTATGAGACAACCCAAAGAAATACAACAAGAATGCAGCTTGGATAAAGGAGGTGGATAAGAATAAAAAAGAAGCTGAAATGAAAAAACTTGTAATAACAGCAGAAATGGTGGAGATAAGGGCAAGGAAGATCCAAATAAAAGGGGCAGCACCAATTGCTTGCTTACCAACAACTTTCAAATTGCTAACTGGTGTGATAGCTGATGCAGTCCAACAGCATCTAGTTGAAAACAAGCTCTTTCCATCTGAGCAGAAAGAAAACTGCCCAAACATCAGAGGAACAAAAGATTAGCTCCTAACTGACAATATGATTTTGGAAACTGCAAGAGAAGGAAGACCAACTTGAATGTAGCTTGGATTGATTACCAAAAGGCACTTGATTCCCTGGCACATGACTGGATAATCAAGTGCCTAGAAATAACAGGAGTCAGTAGAAACATCAGAAGCTTTGTGCAACGATCAATGGCACAATGGAAGATACAGTTGCTGGTCAATGGTGACAGACTGGTAGTGATTAATATCAAAATAGGAATCTTTCAAGGAGACTCACTATCACCTCTACTGTTTGTCATTGCATTGATTTCTCTGTCAACAATACTGAACAAATCAGGCCATGGCTATCAAACATCAAAAACCTCTGCCAGGCTCTCCCACTTCCTTTACATGGATGATCTGAAGCTGTATGGAAAAACACCATATGAAATAGAATTGCTGCTCAACACTGTCCAAAAATACAGGCAAGATGTTGCAATGGAGTTTGGACTGGACAAATGTGCCACTCTTACCATCAACAGGGGAAAAATAATGAAAACTGAAGGAATCAAGATGCCCTATGGAAATAACATCAAGAATCTGGATGAAGAAGATCACTATAAATACCTGACATCCTTCAAGCTGACAACATCAAGCACATTGAAGTCAAGGAGAAGGTTAGTAGTCAATACATCATGGGAGCGAAGAAGATCTTAAAGTCCAAACTCAGTGGATGAAGTGCCATCAAGGCGATTAACATCCGGCAATTCCAGTCATTAGATATACAGCTGGAATAGTGGACTGCACTCAAGCTGAACTAGAAGTCCTGGATAAGAAGACCAGAAAAATAATGACAATGAATCATGCCCTTCATCCACACAGCAACACTGACAGACTCTGCTTACCAAGGAGCATAGGTGGGCATGGAATGTTGCAAGTACACCAGACAGCTGAAGAAGAAAAAAGGGCATCGGAAGAACATCTGAAGGACAGTGAAGAAGATGCACTGAAACTACACCATGAAGGCTTACTGAATACAGAAGAGATCAACCTGGCCTACAAGAAAGATCAAATGAAGAATATTAAAGAGACATGGCAAGGCAAAGTATTACATGGCCAGTACACAAAAAAACTAGCAGGCAAAGCAGATAACAAGACCTGTCAATGGCTAAGAACAGGAAAGTTGAAGAAAGAGACAGATGGGGTAATTCTGGTTGCACAAGACCAAGCCTTAAGAAAAAATGCATATAAAGCCAGAATTGAGAAGACAGCAAGACACCAAATGCCACCTCTGCAAAGAAGCTGAAGAAACAGTGGCCACCCAGTTAG